ACTGGAGGCGAGTCTGGTTCAGTAATGAATCACGATTTCTTCCTCACCGGCGAGATGAAAGACAGCGTGTTCACCGTCGGAGAAATGAACGTTTTGCCCCTAATTGCATTCGACAGATTCTGTGGAGACAGTATCATAGTGAAGTGCGATATCCAGCACACAAAGATCTGATTTAGTGGTGGTTCAGGGAATACTTGACACAATGAAACCTTGCACGTCACGGTCCGCTATGACAACACCAAATCTCAACCCGATAGAACACCTATGGATGTCCGAAAGAGAGAGCAAGTGTATCAGTCTATGAGGAAGCTAACGTAAAATCACAAAACACAACCGGAATGTGCAACTCTTTCAGTTCTCTGGTCGTATTTAGGAGGTGTAAGCGTTATGATCTGGGCTAAGATAACATGTGACGTGAGTCATTGTGATTGAGGGGAAATTTAATGCTCTGGGTTACCGACACAAAATTTTGAACGCTTTACCGTTTTTGTGGCAGAAGGGTCCTGGATTGACGTTTCAAAACGATAACGCCAGACCACAGGTAAGATCGCCTAATTAATAAAATGGAGAGACGTTTACGACGCAAAATCCTCTCATCGATGCTGCGGGAACTAAACAAAATCCTCTCATCGATGTTTTGTGGCATCACTGAAGCGAAGGTGCCCGGATGTAGGTTCATTTCATGACATCCCGAAGGACAACCCGGGAACTGCAATCCAAATCATATATTGCAGCATTTCTATCGAGGGCATAGTGGAAAGGGGTAAGTTGATCAGTTTTACTGTCTTGGCCCAAACAGTTTCTGTTTTGAACATTCAATATTTTTATGTAAAATGCTATCAAGTTAGTGAGTGAGTGAATTTAGCCAGGACAATTCAGTCCTAGTTAAACTCTGAACGGTTTCACAGTTTTGTCACAAACGGAGCACAAAAATGATGGTATATCTGAATTTCTCTCAAATAGCATACTGTTGAACAGCCGACACATCGGTGTTTTGTTTTTCAAATTGCACAATGGATTAAAACGTTACAAATAATATAAAAATACGTATGTGTAGATATTTGAATGAACTTTCAATATTGCATTGTCAAAGTCTATGTTCTAAGAGAGTTCGATGGTCCTGAAAAATGACCTTCAATTGTTCCACGGGCAGGGTGCGGTGGTTTTCACCACTCGTTGTCTCACGGGATCTTTCCCGCCATGGGTGAGGCACCGGTGATAACTATCATTGATTCAGACTTGCAGTAGACACATGTAAATGTGTCATCGCAGACATCATTCCCTCAAGCATACTCAGGGGCGTGAGCGAGTGAGTGAGTGAGTTAAAATTTCAAGTCTCTTTGGCAATATTTCAGCCATATCGTGACTAAATCAAGTTATAGATTAATATTAATTAAGGTAAATTATAAAAAAAACTGTCAACGAAGGACACAGATAGAAATTTAAAACTAATGACTAAATCTAAAACATTGTAACTATACACGACAATACAATATAAAAACCGGCCGGCTATAGATCGCTAACAAACTAAAGGTAGATCACCATACTAAGGACCATGGGGACTTACAGTACATTTGCTTCCTGCATGGGCCCCAGCTGGATTTACATCATCCCTTCAGCTGTTAGCAATTTATAATAGTCTAGCCATACATTAAAAATACACATATTCTACGATTAAAAATGTGGCGATTTTTAATTTACTTTGATTGTTTTTGGACGTACGTACCCTCTCAGGAGGGCATACACAGGGACGTATCCCAGGCACTTCTTGCATGTTCAAGCTTTAGTCTTAGTGCTGTCCATGTTGACGATATGTCCCACTGTACCCACAGAATCGTTTAATGTATATTCTAACCATCTGTGACCATATTCTAACAAAATAGACTCATTTATTCATCAGAGTGAGGAGAGACGGCCCAGCAGTAGAACATTGCCGGTATTGAATTACAGCAACCGAAGTATTCTACTACTCCACAGACAACTGTGTCACTGTAACAGTAACTCAAATCTTTAGTTTTAAACTCGAGTTTATTTTAGCGAGGTCAGGACGTTATCAGACAACGGCCAGTCCAACAACAAACAGGGGCATTACACATATACCCGGAGATAAATTTGAAAGACGCCTAAATACAGTTACTCAACCAACCTACATAGACAGGGTTGTACATTTTGGAGACATAAAGGATGTTGAGATTATCCATTGATAACGTTCTTAGCAATGAGAGTATGGGTCGGGTGAGTTAACACTTTATTAATTGAATTTCAAGGTTAGCGAGCTATGAGAACAGTAATCATACAAATTATGATTCCAGTTTTAAAAGGCTCTGTGTGGGTTTGAAAACACAGGTGCTGCGATATTTGTCCCATGTGTATAGTTCCATCATCACACCTGACAAGGCAGGAAGAGACAATGCATCTCCCCCCTCCTCCTGGCTTTACATCTGTGACCCGTGAAGATCCGGACTAGAATTGGTCTTCAGCAGCCCATGCTTGTCGTGAGAGGCGTCAACGGGATGGGGTTGTCACGCTCTTTTGTTTGGTTGCGTGCCATCGTATCCCAATTATGTTGATTGATGCTCATAATGTTGATCACTGAATTGTCTGGCCCACACTCATTTATTTACAGTCCGCCGCTATATGGCTGGAATATTGCGGAGTACATCGTTAAACAACGACAGCAACTACAAAAATAATCAAATTGGTCAGATGCATAATGCAAAATTACCTACAATTACCTGCATAAAACATTCCAAAATGAGGTTAAATACTATTCTTCTGTGACCCGTGAAGATCCAGGTTAGAATTGGTCTTCATCAACCCATGCTTGGCGTCAGGTCAGGTTCATTTACTTGGTTGAGACATGTCATAACACATTGATTAATGATCATAATGTTGATCACTGGATTGTCTTGTATGGACTCGATTATTTACAGGCCGCCGCCATATACCTGGTATATTGCTGAGTGCGGCGGTAAACATCGACAAGAAGAAAAGTACTCCAGTTAATCAGATGTCAAAGCTATTGATACATGTATAGCTGTGTGTTAAAGTTCAAATACAATGAATACAAGACTTGTTCTTTACCTTACACAGCAGAATCTCTGCACCTCTAAAGAAAAGTGTTGGTTAAAAATTAATAATTAGATACTCCCGTCAATCGAACACTTCACTGTCTGATTTGCTTAGGAGCTGCCGTCACATGGCACCATTACTCCTGTGTTGCGTCCGCTGTAAATGCTTACTTTTTAAGCCAACTGTGGGAATGGTGGGTGCTACCGATAAAGCAGGACATGCTTATCCTTTCAGTGAAAAAACAATGTCAACACTGATATTCAGGGGTCTAGTTCATATATACTGAACCGCATAAAAAACGCAAGTTTTTCAAAATGAATAAATATTCGACAGAACATTGTTAAATATTATAGTGTAACTACACATTGGTTACCTTTGTTGTGAAAAAACAGTTTGTTAATGTTCAGGTTCTGTTTGGTGATTTCTCTTGGATATTGTACATCGCCAAAACGCAGCAATTGAATTGGACGTGGGATGTGGTTGCAGAAGGTTTTCATGAAAATCATGATGCGCATTATGTCACGGACACATAGGGGTATAAAAATGCCCTCAAATCAGTTTGAAATCACTCCCGACAAACGCCCACCAAGAATGCCAAGGTTAACGACGCAACAGAGGGAACAAGCCATCGGCCGTCTTGAAGCTGGACAGAGTGTTGCAGATGTTGCCGATGCGTTCCATGTGCACATAACGACCATCTACCGTCTTCAGGAACGTTTTGCTGCTACACAGACCACTGCTGACCGCCAACGTCCTGGACGTCCAAGAGTCACAACACCACGGCAAGATCGACACATTCAACGTTCGCACATCGGGGATCGATTCTTATCTGCCAAAGAGACTGCCCGACAGACTATTGGACGTCACAACCGAGCAATAAGCGGAGATACAGTTCGGCGCAGACTCAGAGCTGTCCACCTCCGTTGTCGTCGTCCAGCTCGACGTCCTATCCTCACACCGAGACATCGTCAGAATCGTCTGTAGTGGGCTACGTTGCATCGAAACTGGCGTCATCAACAGTGGAGACTGATATTGTCCTCTGATGAAAGTCGGTTTTGCATTTCTCATGCTGACGGCCGAGTTCGAATATGGCGAAGGCGAGGTGAACGCTTTGCTGACGAATGTGTAATGGAAGATGATGCATGGGGAGGTCCGAGTGTTATGGTATGGGCAGCGATTGGCCTGAATCAGAGATTAGGGCCAGTATTCTTCCAGAATATTGGGCCAGGTGGGGGAAATGGAGTCACCGCCCAACGTTATATCGACCAGATCCTCCGAACCCAGGTTGTGCCATTTTTCGTCCGACATCAGCAACACATTTCCCAGCAAGATAATGCCAGGCCCCACACTGCTAGAGTCACTCAGGCATTTTTCCAGCAGCATAACATCCGACTACTGCCATGGCATGCTGTCAGTCCCGATTTAAACCCGATCGAACATTTTTGGGGCGAGCTGCAGAGACGACTGAATGAAGTCCGACCACGTCCGACAACTGCAGCAGAACTCCAGGCAGCCATCATACGGACATGTGCGGCAATCCCTAGGGCCTTTGTCAACCGTCTGATTCACTCCATGTTCAGGCGGTGCACAACTGTAGTGAATGCACGAGGTGGACATACGCGCTACTGACTTGTTGGGTCAATTTCGATTTTGTCTTCAATGCAAAGTAAACCAACAATGTTTCCATGCATTGACTGACATGTCCCAATCATCATGCAATAAGTGTTGATTGTTATTATGTACCTGTTTTCATGTATTATCTGTCAAAAGTAAAGTTTTTCAAAATCTGGATTTTGACTTGCGTTTCTTTTGCGGTTCAGTATAGTTCCCTTAGTCTATTGTCACACCAAATTAGTTGATGTTTCATTGCTATCAGAAAGGTATGTCTGCCCGTTAAGATTTCCTCCACGTCATTTCTTCTGGTCTGACTATTCCTTTCTGATCACGAGATATATAAACTTCACATCGTCCTTGAATATTTCGGGGTTCATCCTTGAAATACGTTTCTTCACGTCGTCGTACAGCCCATCAACTATCTGCTCCTTCTCCTCCAGTGATCGGGAGTCTGAGAGACCATTCATGAAGGTGCTGTTGCTCCAGTTCCTGTGAGCGGAAACGTACATCCTGGCAAACTCCTCCCTATCATCAATTCCTTCTTTGTCCTTCTTCTCTCTCCAGTCGTTGTAAAATACATCAGGGTTCACTACAGCTTCAGCTGACAAGAGGGTTAATCCTGACCTTGAAACTGGTGACGTTTTGTTATCGAATGGTTTTCTCATCTCCTTCATGGTGCGGTAACAAGCGGATATGTTTGTATTGACGAACTCTTCTTTGGAGATTTTACCAGATTCACTGTATTCCTTCCATACCTCATTCAGTAGTCCCACAAGGGAATACATAGTGTATTTATTTTCTCCAGTGTTTCTGTCCTCAAACACAGCGCAGATACCTACGACAAGTAAGCCTCCCCGTTTCAGTTCTCTACTTCTTCTCAGTAAAAAGGTCTCCCAGTCCAACTCGGCTTGCTTGTGTAGTGCAACCGTCTCCTCAGTACTACTCTTGGCATCTTTGTAAATCGCGTTCTTGAAGGTGGTTGAGGTCCTTGACAACCAATGGACAGACGTCATTGACATCATGAAATGCATTGAGTTTGAAGGTATACACTGCTTGTAGAAGTTTGTCCCTGAAGCAAGAACATAGACATTGTCCATTTTCAGGAGGTAGGACGGTGGATCAGGGATGATTCCCGACATACGTTTAAAGAGGGAATTGAAATCATTCATTTCCAAGTCTTCATGAATAACCTGGAACTGGGTGTTGGGGCCATGATGATCTTTCAGAGTTGCCAGCAACTCACCGAAAATGGCCATGGCAGTAGAACCATCAGCTGCACCATATTCGGCAATGTTGAAGACCGAGTCCTTGTCAGTAAAGGGAATGGTTTTGGCCAATCTGAGAATCGTTTCTCACACTGGTTCGACATGTAGAACAGTTTGTTTTCCGAGTGTTGATCCATAATTTCCGTCACCTGTTTTCCCATATGGGCGATATGCTTTAGGAATATCTTCATAGTATCTCACTGGTACAGCTGTAAATCCCTTGTGAATGCGTAGATGTCTTCTGATTTCTGAATAGAGTATCCTGATGGACATTGTTGATGCAGTTTTTGTTTCTAATTATAGTAACTTGCATGCAATCCTGTTGTGGAATGGTGACCTGAAGACAAGACAAATAATATATTCGCTCACTGGTTTTACTACCACCACCTGTCTAGCTCCACGTATCCACACATGTATACCATTCTGACTCCGAGCCGACCAGTCCTTGTTGTACCCATTAATGCCGAGCGCCAGGCAGGGACCATCAAGTACCATATTTTAACTTCTTTTGGTATGACGGGGATCGAACCGGCGACCTTCCGCTCTCCGGGCGGACGCTCTAACCACTACACCATGGAGGCGGTCGATGAAAATATTATGATTAATAACAACAAGACTGACTGATTGACTGAATTTGATTTGCGCCGCTTTTAGCAATATTCCAGCAACATCACGGCGTGGGACACTAGAAAGGGCTTCACACATTGTACCCGTGTGGGGATTCGAACCCGGGTCTTCGGTGTGACAAGCGAACGCTTTAACCACTAGGCTACCCCACCGCCCCAATTACAACAAGAACAATTATATGAAATAATACGATGTCTTTATAAAATTGCGTTTAGGGGCACTGGTTGATGAAAACATTCATTTTGAATATTAAACTGATTAACAGCATCACAGTCAGAATTGTATTTCTATGATTGCCAGACAGTTTGAACAACACAGGTAGTTGCAACACACGGCTAAGATTTGGTCAACTGTTTACACTTTCTGTCGACTCCAGCAAATATGTATTGTAATCTGAAAACACCTGAACAAGGAGCACTCTAAGTAACTTCACCACAGTGCTAACTCCTTTCGCAAGGGACACAACTCATGTTTCTGCTGTGTGCACACAAGTAACATGTACATGTACCATGCGCCTTGGCGAGTGTTGGGCAACTGCCAATCTCAGCAGGTTCGTGTGAAGTCACCTTGTGTTCCCGAGTCAAGTTCTAAACGAGTGTAACCGCCTCCGTGGTGTAGTGGTTAGAGCGTCCACCCGGAGCGGGAAGGTCGCGGGTTCGCTCCCCGACCGCGTCATACCAAAAGACGTTAAAATATGGTACTTGTTGGTCCCTGCCTGGCGTTCGGCATTAATGGGTACAACAAGGAGTGGTCGGCTCGGAGTCAGTATTATGTGTCTGAGTGGGGTATTCATGCTTCACTGCTTCGTGGTATCTCCGTGGGCTAGCACTATAAAACCAGCTTAAGTCTGGGCTAGTACTATAAAACCAGCTTAAGTCTGGGCTAGTACAAGCAGCCGCACATACACATACACTCGCATGCACGTCGTCATATGAGCGAAATATTCTCAAGCACGACGTTAAACCCAATTTCACCCTCACCTCACCTCTAAACGAGTGTCAGAAAGATTTCAACTGTAATCCAGTACCTGTAATCATATGTCCGTGTGTAAACACATGCGGAGCTCTTTGTTTGTTAGAAGGCAGATATACAGCTGTACATATGGCCTTTCTTTGTCGTAGTGGTTATTCTCAAAAGTGAAATTCCTGAATTGATGAACTATGCGTTCATCTAAACAACATTGTATGGATAGACCGTGCGTGTGTTCATAAACGTAGCTCCCCAGTTAGACCAAATATTGTGGAAACATCTGTTTTTGATGTTCAATAACTGAACTCACTGTCGGCAATGTAACTATGAGTGAGTGAGTGAGCGAGTTAAGATTTTAAGTCACATCGGCAATATTCCAGCCATATTGTGACTATTGAAGTTATAATGTCATAATAATCATTATAAAAAACATGTCGGCGAAGGACAGTAAAGATAACTAGAATATCACAGATATAATTGTAAAACTGGTATGAACATCTAAAGTATCTTACATATGAAAGACAATAGAATACCAAAAAGTTGCTATAGATCGCCAACAACTTAAGGTAGATCAACATACTAGGGACCATCGGGACATACAATACCTTTGCAACCTGCATGGACCCTAGCTGGGTTTACACCATCCCTTCAGCCATAGGCGTTTATAGTCCGAATTAGCCATACTTTTTAAAATAACTTATATTCAACGATTAAAAACGTGGTATTGGTATGAAAAATCCAGTGTAACTATGCGAAAAGAAAGAAAGTCACGGAATGTTTCAGGTATGTTTTCATATACAACAGCAAATAAAGCTCGAACCTTCACATACCGTTCCCATGCAAATTTACACAAGCTGCAATTGTTGTTGTTTTAGAAACATAATCAATAATATACATTAAAAGTGTACTTACATTCACCAGACGATATTTCCGTGCATGTAGCAGTTCGTCACCAGCTCAAGTCTACTCAAGTTACGCCATACGCAGCAGGTGCTTTTAGTAATGGAGATCTGCGCAGTTTCAGTCACGTGACATACATGACAATATGCCCATGTCGAATGTACACTCATGCATTAAACGTGTCAAACTGTCTGTCGATTTCCCGAAAAGAAACTCCATCTTGTGCGTCTAATTTCTCCTTTAATCAGTGTATGGACAGCTGCGTGTACAGCGAAGTCTGTGACCTATTGGTGAGAACACTGACATCCGTTAATATGTGTTTTCCCGAATCGAAATTGATGGAAAAAGGGAAATTCACAAGCAAATGACAAAGTTTCGTTATGTGTCCCAAAAAGAGTCGGGTTTACATACCAAGGTCACTGATAAGCTAAGCCGCAAACAGTGTGCCAAATGTCACCCACTGTGTTAACATGTCTCGAGATATATTGGTTGGTTGTTTGGTTTGTTGGTTGGTTGGTTGACGCAACGCTCAGCAATGTTCCAGCTGTATGGCGGCAGTCTGTAAATAATCGAGTCTAGGCCAGACAATCCAGTGATCAACATCGTGAGCATCGATCTACGCAGTTGGGATACGATGGCATGCGTCAACCAAGTCAGAAAGCCTGACCACCCGATCCTAATAGTCGACACTTGTCGATCCCTTTTGCCACAAGCATGAGTTACTGAAGACCAATTCTTACCCGGATCTCCACGGTATTGTGTAAGCTGGGGATGGCTTTGAAGGTGTTTGCTTAGGATGGGGTATTCCCGGGACATGGCACCATGTGTCGTGTAAAAACGAAGTCAAGAAAAAAAGTGTTCACTTCGTGCGAATGGGTTACTGAGCTAATTAACGCCAGAAAAAAAGACAAAGTTTGTGATTACAAGACTTCGGGCAATACTAAATTGTGAAATTATACGGAAGCGAAACAAGTAATTTTAATAAATAAGGCAAACACAATGGCGCTGGTGTCCCCACGGTTCAATCTGTTCCTGCTGGCCTTGCATCTTTCTTGCAGGTCGGCGTATTTTATTATTATTTTATTATCGACAAACCTCAATTTCATTAGGAACAGCTGGGTGGTTGTGTGCACTTTGCGGCTTGATGAGGATGTCGTTGATGTTAGATACAGTTGATTTACAATCCTTGATGGTACATTGCCAAGAACACCAGTCAGTTCGTCTTCTCTTCAGGATTCTGTAAGTGTGCCCATTCACGCAGATGTATCTTCCACCTCGAGATGTTGGAAGAAATTTGTAATCTAACTGTACTTTTGCCATAGCGGAAGTGATGCATGATTTACCTCATCTTGCCAGAATTATATAGTACAATTTGTGGACACTGATTAAACGTTTCAGTGAATTTACTCACCTATCGGAGTAAACATATTTTATGAAATCAATCAACACTGAAAACAATAATCATATGCATACCCGAGTTCATGAAACCGTAACAAGTCACATTTTAACACTTCCCGACCAGTTAATCCCTTACAAAAACAACACACGACATGTAAGGTACACCGTTTGTCCACGTCCTGCAAATGCAAAATTTCAGGTTGTCCACGTCCTGAGAATGAATCATTAGGGTGGCTACGTGAAGGTGTAAGTTTGTGATGACTTTATGAAGCTTGGGATGGCTTTGTGAAGGCATACGCTTGGGATAGCTTTGTGAAGGTGTAAGCTAGGACTTTCTATGTTAAGGTGTGAGTTTATAATGTCTGTCTGAAGTTTAATGCTTCTGATGTACATGTATATGTAAAGGTGGAAGCTTGAACTGGAGGTCAAAGACAGTTGCCACCCGGATAATTACCATCGGACAATTGCCACCCAAAACATAAAAAAGGAATGTTTCTTCAACAAACTTTATTGAATTTGACATGGTAATTCATAACAAAAATAACTACATATTCTTTCATATAACATGACACATTTTAAAGATCAGACACTGTTACAATAGATTTGTATTCAATAGAGCAATAGCAACTAAATGCCCAATTACATTACATGTACACATGTATAAAACACATTTCTTAAAGTGAGCTCATTACATCCGGATGTTGTCGTCCACACTGTACAGATAATCCACACACATTCTATTTGGGTAGTCAGTCGCAATTGCTTGTAGTCTTTGTTGGCAGTCTCTGTATTGCTTCCGGGGTCGAGCAACAGTCATCCCTGACAGCATCTGTATGATCGCCTGGTCATTGAAGGCGTGTTCTCCCCTCAAGACGTCCAGGAACCTCAAGATGGATGGGTGACAGCCTGACATGTTGCTTAAAGGAGAATACGAGGGAATTGCAATAATTTGCTGGGTGAAAGATAAAGTCATCAGAAACATATTCCCAAATCTTCAATTGAAAATTATGTGCAATTATGTTTTAATCGCGAAAACAGTTTCTGTAAATCTCAGCTTCGGCCATTATGCATATTTCGCTGGAACCCACGTGACCTTT